CTGCTGAACTAGCTTCTCACTACACAAATTGTATTGAGCCTTGGGGGCTTTAGGAGGCCGGTCTGCTGCTTGCATTTGTCTCTAGTTCTCCCAGAGGAACCAAACGAGTTTTAAGCAGAGCCTGGCTTGAGAAGCTGAGAGTGTGAGGCTGAACCTAGTTTAACAGAAACCGGCCTGACGGATGGCCTCGGGCTTTTATCACGTATCTTCTGCTGTAGAAGGCTCCTGTCGTAGCATCTGCATCCACCGTGCTGTGGCCTTTGCTGCTGCTCTGGACTTGGGTGGTAGTTACAGCTTCTTGTACCTCAAAAGCCTGTTTGCTTGTCCTGAGCTTGTGACTGTCAGCATGAGCTTGTGGTGGGAGGTGACTGGGAGAGGGGGTGTCCTCGCTTGCAGTAATCACTTGTTGTCTCTCCTCAGGGTTAGGGAAGAATTCTGAGGGCCGAGTGGAGCCAGTGCAGGCTGTGGTACTTCCTCGAGGGAAGTCCCTCGACCAGTGTATTGAGGTGCTTCAGAAGAAGAAACAGGGGAAGCTGGACCCAGGCAGATCGAGAAAATGCAGAGCAAAGGGAGACAGCTCTGGACAGTCCTCTGCGGGCAGCCGTAAGCCTTCCCGCAATGTGTTTGACTTTTTGAATGAGAAACTGCGAGGGAAGGGCACTGGGGAGAAGTCTGGAGGGGTGGCAGTGCCAGAGAGGAACAGCAAGGAGATCTACCATGCTAGCAAGAGCACCAAGAAAGCCCTGAGTGTCCGCCTCTTCCAGACAATGGAGAAGATTGAACAAACGCAGAAGGATATCAGAGGAATCCAGCAGGCCCTGGCACGCAACATTGGAAGGTAGGAAAACATTCTCTTTGGGACTGCACGATGAACTGAGAATTCTTGGTGGGAATTCTGGGAAGGGGTGGGCTTGAAATGAGGTGTAGGAGGAACAAGTGAAAGATACCTGCATGAGACCTAAGGGGAAGCGGAGGAGAGAGAGGAGCATGTGCTTCAGACCAGCTTGGACACTGGCAACTGTGTCTGGGGTCCTTTGGCTGGAATTCAGGCTGTGGCGAAGAGAGGAGCTCTTTGAGGAAAGGTACTGGAGCCCATTCCTTCTCATGCCCATCTCTGCAGCTTTGCTGTTGAGCATCACTGGGGGACGTTTTCTAGCCCGGGTTGTGCTGAGCATCAGGTTCTTCCTGGCTTTCAGCAGGTCACTTGCGCTAATCCCACAGGAAAGGGCAAACCCTCCTGGGATGGTGACAAGCCTTTGATCTTATCATGCAGGGTGACGTTGCCGTAATGCTTTTTGCTTTCAGGCACAGCATTGCTACAGCTCAGCTGGAGGAGAAGCTTGCTAACGCGCACAAACAGCTGGGGCAGCTGCAGGCCCAGGAAGCCAGTCTGCAGCGGGAGCAGAAGAAAGCAGACACGCATAAGAAGATGACTGAGTTCTAGTCTCTGAGGAAGGCGTTTGACTGCAGTGATTGTCCTTCTAGCCAGCCCCAGTGCTTGTGGCCTCAGAGCCTGGGTGAGCCATCCCGCTCCTCTGGTCCTCAGGCTGCCCAGCCTGAAAACTGGGCTGAAAAGCAGCAGTTTCTAAAAACTAGATGCTTCTGAGCGCTGCTGGGAGTGGGAGGAGTACACATCCGTCCAGCCCTGAAAGCATTCAGTAAGCCTGGGCCTTGTATAAGGACTAACTACAAGAAACATGATTCTCTGCTCTCTTGCACACATCTTTCCTCTGTTATCACTGCGGTAGCACCTCCATCCAGAGTCTGTAGCTGCTCGAGTGATAACATTGCTGGCCACGAACCAGCTGAGGAGGGGCTTTGAAAGCCCCACATCCTGCCGTCAACTGTGGCTTGTGTTTGCAGCCAACTGACGAACGCGAGTGGAGGCAGGGTCCCGAGCACATTCCGGCAAAGCAGAAAAGGCTTGTGCTGGGTGAAAACAGCAAAGGCAAATTGCTTCAGCTGCTCTCTACCCTTCTGGGTTTTGCTGTGGGATTTATCTAAGAACTCAGTTTTTCTGGGAGCAGTTCCTTGCAGCCCTAGTGTAATGAATAGACAGAAAACTGGCAGCTTGGAGGTGGGTACGAGTGGCCTCAAGCATCAGATTTCATCAGTTTGACTGTAAGAGTATCCCTAGGACATGCTGTAGCCTAACTCATTGACTTGGCATGGGAAGCTGCGTGGTTCCACAAGCAGAGTGCCAAAGCCGGGGGAATAAGATAGAGTAACAAATTCTCAAGCTTCCTAGCTAGGAACAACTCCACAGGGAACCTTGAGATTTTTGCCATCATTACTTAAGTTTTTCGGTCCTAGGTGGCTCGCTGAACACAAATCCTTTTATTAAAAAATGTCAGGACCCAGATTCAGGTCGGACTGGGCCCGGGATGAACACAAAGGTCAGGAGGTCTGTATGTGCCCAGCGTGCAGCCCTGTCTCTGTGCGAGAGCTTCAGGCTATGCTGGAAGCAGGCCAAGTGCCCTTCCCTGCAGCGTGGACAGTCTTCAGTCAGGAAGGATGTCTTCTCCCCTAGATTATATTCTGTGTTGGCGGCAGTCAGTCCTTACCCCAGAGGAGATGGTGGTTTCATCAGACTCTTTCTGGTGGGGCTTACGCATTGTAATTGCTTTTTTTAAAAAAAATCGTTTGTAATTTCATGCCAGTATCTTAAGGATGCAATTTTTTTTTTCTTAATTTAAGAAATCAGTTTCCTCTTATTCTATGAGTCATTTTTCTAATTAAAAGTTTTGCTCATTTAGTACCACCTTTTTTATCTGTTTCTCAGAAACCTTACAAAGCTGTCGACCTGGGCAGGGCTGCACCTACTTGTAGGTGCCAAACTAACCAGAAAATCTAAAGCAGAGGGAGATACAATCAGAGCTGTTTAAGTCATGTGGGATTTAGCATTGCTGCAGACACACCTCAGAAAACACAGAGCAGCAGCAAAAGTAAACGAGGTGAACGTCTTCAGGAAACCCTTTGGAGTGACTCTTTCCTCCTGGAAAGCACTTGCATCCTGCTGCGATGAGCACCGTGTGGATGGTGAAAGGTGGCGTGGGCTGCCTTGAGCACTTCAGCATCCGTCGGTTCCTAACTAAATTGGCCGTACTGTCTTCTTTGTTCTGAATTTGCGTTCTCTGTGCACTGGGCTTCTCTCAAGGGTTTGACAATGGTTGCTCAGTGCCCTTCACTCACAAATGACTGGTTGTTCCCCACACTCAAGTGTTGAGTGGTGACAAGGATTAATGCGCCCAGCTTAGCATGGGTGCTCGCTGAATTGGCCCGTGAGTGGTGAAGCCAAGCTGGGCAGAGAAATTTCTTGGGTTTCTTTTGTGCTCTGACACTATTTAACATCATCATCTCTTTAAGAATTGGGTGTATTGGCCCCGTGTCTCGGCTAAGTTGTATTTTGACCCTTCCTTGGGATTTCCATGGCCTTACTTGTCAGACTCCTAGTCGTATGGCTGCTGCCTCCCACCCAAGACAGTTCATGTTCCCGGTGAATAAAGTTGGTTTTTACTTTTTCCCCTCTGTCCTTGTAAGGCGTTGTTCATTTGCAAGGTAATGATGATCTGTGGCGACCCATTCTTTCCTTATATTGCCCCGCGGCTAGAGGGCTGGCACTAAAACCAGCTCGGTGGGAAGCGGAGCGCGGCAGAGGGTGCTCGTGTGTGCCGGGTGCCTGCAGCGCTCGTCTGCAGCACTGCTCGCAGCCAAGGCGGGGAGAAACCCAGCCTACCGCTGGGTGAAGCAACCACCTCCGCAGGCCAGGAAGCGAGCTGTGGTGTGCGCTGCATGGTATCTGCTCAGAGCTGTCTGCTCTAGAAGGAGCTAAAGAGGAGCGGGAGAGCGCAGATCATCATGTTTGAAATGTTTGGGAATGCCTAATTAGGAATAACTCTGCGGGATAAAAGAAATGAAACTCTCCAGGTTGGCTGGCAAGGAAGGCAGTGGGATCGAATTCCCGCTCTTCGCGCTCATCGGCTTTTGAGTTCCTGCAAAGTAAGTGGTGTTTGCTTTCTTGCCTGGCGAACTTGGGTATCTGTGACTAAACCAGGGATCGAAAAATACTTTCAAACCCCCTGTTCTCTGCAGAAATCGCAGCGTTGTTGGAGATGCTGTTGCAGCGAGCTAGACAGGACAGGCAGGATTCCTGCTCCTAACGCTGCAGTGGGGAAGCATCGGCTGCGTTAAACTTCAGCTGCTGCAAGGAGGGCTGCAGCCTTCGTGCCGCTTAACGCTTTGTCGCTCTGGCAGCATCTGGGCTTAAAAAGGAAGAAAAGGTGCTTGAGCTTGTCAACGCTGCCGGGGTCCCGTGGCTTGAATCTAGAGGTTGAGTGGGAACTGGTTCCTTTCGTGGTGAACGAATTGTTGAGTTCAGAGGTGTGGGGCATTGGGGTTTTTTTTTTTCAACGGAAAAATTTCCAGTTGTCTCGTGGGGAGGGGGGACTAGATTTTTTGTTTGCGTACAGAACAGCTCTTGGGGAACTGCTGACCTCCTGGCTGCAGGTGAGGAGGCTTGAGAGAGTGTGGGCATCAAAGCACTGTCTTCCGGAAACCTGAAATTATGTAAAACTACTGAATTTGGGGCAGGAAAACCACTGCGAAAAGCAAGTGATTGTGGAGAAAGCACGCATCTCCTTAATAACCCTCGGCCTGCATTTGGAATCTGGTTTCCCATAACCGCAGCCCCGAGGTCTCTGCTGGTGTCCTGCTGCCGCTCAGCTCTGCAGTTTCTCACCTTCTGCTTAGAAACGCATTTCTCTGCCCAAGCGATGCATTTCCAGCAATCGCGGAAGGGCGGGAAGAAAGAAAAATGCTGAAACGATGTCAGACTCGACCAAAGCCACACGGTGTGAGCAGGCGGGTCACTTTACCTTAAGGTTTTAAGACTGTATTTTCACAAAAGCCACTTCAGCGTATGAGTAACAATCAGGACTGTAATTACAAGCGTGCATCCAAGTTTTGTGACGTTTGGGTCTGGCATTCAGAAATGTAGTCAGCCCTTTCTAAATGAAACCCCTCCAGAGGAGTTTGACCATGAAATCTCTCCCTCCTGCTGCAGAAATGCGAGTGAAGTGGGTGAGATCTCGTGCCTGCCCCGTGGCTGAAATAGTCTCAAAATTTACTAATTGCATCCCACGGTCTAGGGCAGATTCGGTGCTGTTGACTGACTGTTACGGGGCTTTCACTTTTCATAATTGAAAAGTATTAAAAGATCTACTTCTGCTTCTTGGGACCTTGATGTCAGTACAACTCCCCGGGGTCCCCGAGCTGTCTTTGCTGCAGCCGCGTTCACAATCACTGGTGGAAATCAGCTTGCAATGTTTGTCCTGGTTTCTTGCAAATACGCTTTTCGAAGTTTCATAGATTTCCTTCTTGTCGCCCTGCGCTGAACGCTGTGTGTGGTTTTATCTGGGTGGATGAATCAGAGGCCAGACAAAATCAGCAGCAGCAGCACTTAATTTTACAGTAAACTTAATCCTGTTTTCGTGAAGCCCGGCTGAGAAACTTGGGCCTTTTGGAGGATTCACGAAAACCTCGCGTGTCCTGCAGTAACAAGCCAACTGCGTTTATCGTGCCTGTGCTCAGGTACCAGGAAAGGGAGTTATTCCCTCCTTGGTGGGCTGTGGGTGTGTGTCGCACGTACGCAGCGACTGTCACTGCTCTCACCTTCAAAGCCATCTTGGCTCACGGAGTCAGCGCATTACAAAATGCCGTCTGCTGGGTCTCCTGCCCCGGAGAATAGCCCCGGGACTGGGAGATCAATAACTTTATTGGCAGGAAATTCAGGTGTGCCTTTCAGAAGGTCTCTTTGAGACTTTGCCTTGCAAACCTGCTCAGTCCTACCTGAGCGGCTTCGGTTAGACGCCGGGTTTTCCTCTCGAATTGGTAATTCTGGGAGAACCAACGTGTCGCCCCAAAAGTGGCTTCTCCCAGTGACTGCTGAGCCTGAAAGAGCGTGCACTGGGTGTTTGCGCAGGTCGGAAATTCAGGAGCAACCGCCGACCCTCCTGCAGGAGGGAAAGCAGGTCAGAAGAATTTCTCTGTATTAATTTCGACTTGGGAAGCCTCTCCCTTCATTCTTCAGTCTTAAAAATTCAGGGATGGAAAATCCACCCGCTGTGGGATGAGCTGCCCCGTGCGTGCCTGCCTCAGCGGGCTGAACGCTCGCCCTCCCGTTCCGCTGTACCGCCAGCTCCCGGCCCTCGCACCTCCTTACAATTTCGGCTGCTAAACCCCAGAGCCTCCTCAGTTCTGCCCTGACCAGAGCCACTGCCGCAGCCTGCGATCCCGTCGCTCTAATGAGCTAAACAAGTTCAGCGAGGACCGTCTAAAGCGACTGCCTGTGTTGCAGGTAATCCGTATAATTAATATATGCTCAGACAGAAAAGCAGTGTTGTCTAATTAAAACGTCGTTGGAGAGGGAACAGCCTTCCCTTCCCAGCTCTGATCTAAGCCAGTCTGTCCAGCCCGGTTAGTCCCTAAAACCTCTCTGTCTCAGTTTCCACGTTGAAATAATTGCTCTCCAGGGGTTAAGGCTTCAGTCAGGGAAGTTTCGGAAGGCGTGGGAAGGTCTCAGATAAAAGGCTGCTACAA